GTTACATATAATTACTACTTTCTATAGCCACATGTTAAATAACAGATATGGGCTTCATACCTAGATATTTTCTGTTATTCCTTTTTTAAAAAAATATGAAATTGAATTGATATTGAAGTTCTTAAGTTAACTAGAATTTGTAGTTTACCACATTTTCTCAGTTGCATTGTTACCCCTCCCTTATGCAATAATGTTGGCTGGTTGCACCTTTCCCATCTGGATGGTGAGCATGTAGACATATCACAAGAACTTTTTCCTCTTTAGAAACATAGTCACTATTGTGATTTCTCATTCCTTCAATAATTCTTAAAATAAAATTCTTCTCATTGATAAGAGTCAATGTCTTCACTAGGAAAACACTGAATTTAAACACATTTAGGATATAACCATGCTGTAATTTTATGAAGGAAAAAGTACAATATACAGGATTTGGTTTTATTTTTTATTTTCTAAATTTCTACATATCAATACAGGATATGACCTTTTTCTGTTGAAAATGCTGCCATTTGACTCATACCATCAAATTAATTTACTGCCTTCATCTCTTGCACATAATATGGCAGTCATGACTGGTGCATACTGACTCCCGGAAACTTCAGCTGTGTGAAAGAGCATTCTATGCTAGATGGTCTGTTTGTAGCTTATAAATGAAATACACATATACTTCCTTTTGAAATGATTATATAATTTCTATTTACTACCACATGCTTTAGAATTATCTTTTAATTATTAAACTAAATGTGCCTTCATTTAGTTATTTTATCTAACATACTTTCTTCTCCATGCCACAATATATTTCAAAGCAGTCCGTGTGACAAATAAAATGAATATAGAAAGAAGGCATTGGGTTTATTTAGTGCCCTGCAACTCTTCATTTTGTTGATATGTGACATGACAAAAAGGTTTCTTTGATTGTTCAGTAAAACAAACCACATAACAGTTTGTTTCTTGATGTGGATCAATTGCATATTGATTATGTTATGGCTTTCATTGGCAGCTGTGTCAGGAGTGGGCTAGATATATATTAAGCTCTTGGGTGCTGGAATGCCACTATTTTTATCAGAGACCATCGATGATTTCTTACACTGAATACCTGAATATGACAGATACTAAAAAAAAAATTATGCTCTTTAAGAAAACAAAAGAATATTTAAAAAGTCTGGCAAGAAATGTGATAAGTGCCTATAATGAAAATCAAATATCATAAACCACACAATATTACTGTGGAGAATAGACAGCGGAGAGGAATACAATGGCATAAAGTGATAGTTGGTCAAGTCAAAATGAGAATGTAAATACAGATTAAACTATGCTCAAAAGAAAACATCTCATTTTTCAATGTCAAGCGTGGACCCCTAAACAGATGTGTAATTAGCAATTTTATGCCAAGGGCAAGCACTAAGCATTTATTTTATCCAACCTCGTCTGGTACCCTCCTGCCTTCAGGATACCCCTCCTGAGCTGCTCATGTTTTGCTTTATTTATAATCCATGGGCTTCCTGTGTCAGGTTACCTGGCCTTCTGAGTCAGCAGAGGATTGCAGCCACAGCAAAAAAAATGCTAAGAAGTCATTCTGGGTTGGAAAATGTTCTCAATATTTCATTCACTGCTGAGTCTTTCACCCCTGAATTACTTCTAAGGGACTGCATCATGCCAAATGGCACAAACTTAAAAAAAAAAATTTTTTTTTGCATCTCATTAAATGGCAAGTAGTTGAATGGCATATCATTTTTGTAAATGCTGTTTAATTCCAAAACCAATCTGAAGTGACTTCTATAACCTATGAAATTCCAGATTTGAGGGCTGTGATGTGCCACAAAGGCCCCCTCCAGGGCCAGTCTGTGGAATTCCACGGTGTCACACATTCACTGCTGGTTTTGTTCATGCCAAGTGCTTTGGAAGGTCATGAATATTTTATCTTGCCTCACAGCATGGCCTACCAAGTTTTCTATATAAGCAGCCCAAATGAAGACAGCCACATTTGCAAAACAGCTAATGTCTCAGTGTTTACTATTTGCAAATACTTTAGGTAAAATTAACTTTTTATACTTTTATGTAAACCATGACATATTGCAAATTACTAAAAATTATGCAACAGAATAAAAACTATATTTTCTGTATTGTATACCTTGGGGGGAAAACAACTACTATTTATTGAGGTGCTATCCATATTAGAAAATGTTTTACACCTCTATAAAGAATAAAGAGTTTATATGCTTTATGTAAAAAAAAAAACACCCACTGTGTTTGGATATAAAGTGAATTTTATGAATAATAATAAAATCAGATTAGTGTGTCAAAATTCTTATTTGCAAGCAATGGGAAATAACTCTGGACATCTTACTAGGTAGAAGCTTTACTGAAAGGTGATAGAATGACATGAAATTAGAAGGAAAGATCTGGCAAATGGGACAAACCAAGGTGGATGTAGTGGCTGGCAGTAGACAAACACTGACCAATATCTGCTGCCCCTGGAGGGAGCCACCATTGCCAGATGTGACCCTTCCCCCTATGGTGGCATCTATTCTGTCCTTTCCATTATGTCTCTCATTCCATGGTTGATAGATTGACTGAGCCCATCTTATATATATATTTGTCTAGCTGTTAAAGGAGGGAGAATGAGGGTGTCTCTCCCCTGATTTTTTCACTGTGGAAGGTGAGAAACTTAAATATGTGACTGGCAGCTATAAAAACAAATCATAAATGTCCACTACGGCTACTTAGATTTTTGTCTTGAATCAAAAATTCTTCAAATTTTAAGTAAAAGTTGAATGACTCCTTCATTCATTCTAATGGGTTATGGTAAATTCATTCTCAAAACAGGACATACGATCTTGACATTCATTCAAGCTGTGGACTCTGAATTGACCCTGTGACCTCTGGCACATTACTAAATCTATTTCCTGTTTTATTTATCTACAATAATGCCCATACATTTTATCTTCCTTAAAGATATTTTATTAAAATCACTGATAATGCTAATTAAAATACAGATATCCTTAAAGAGGGATTATTCAATTTTTAGTCAACATTTAATTTTACTGCTACATGCCCAATCAGTCCAGGACTAGTGTTATAGAATTCCTATTAAATTACATTAGTAGGAAATCTAAAAGGCAATATGCCTGTATGTGTCCATACTTCCTTTATAAATGTCACACAAGAGGCATTTATGCTGAAAGACGTCTGGCCATTAAATACACCGTTTCATATAACTTGTATAGCTTCTCAACAGTGAGGAAGGTATCCTACCATGAGAAGGCCCACACTTTTGCATGGAAGAAAATGAGCCTGATTTTCCATTTCCTTGGGAAAAAAAAATACTGCAAGAAAATTGGAGGCAGGGATGTTTGCATTTGAAAAGAAGCCCCCATAAAAAAACTAGGAATGGAAAATGATTCTTAAAGACCTTTCCCATTTTTTGGCCAAGTCCATGAACGATCAGAGAAGTTACAGAGATGTCTATTTTATGCACCTTCTCGCAAAGTTAACCCTTTTCTTTGTGAACCACCATTGTAGTGGGAATCCTGGGAAGGATATCAGATGGCCTATGATTGTGCTCTAACATACAGGAGTCAGCCCTATAATAAAAATCAAACCAATGTTCATTACAAGTAGGGTCCCCTGGGAATTATCTTAGATAAAGCATCTATAATGCTTACAAGGTAAAGTAAATGCATCTCTGAGGAACACAGGGGAGATTAGGACAATCTATTATTGCAACCAATCAGCATTTTCTTTCTATTTCAGTGCCTATATATCAATGTAAGTGATTTCAGCAGATTGCCTCCTGTAAGATTTATTTTTAAGATTAAAATTATTGATTTTCTTGCTACCTCATCAGTGTTATTTAGAAAAATCTCAGCTGATAATAAGGCCGTGCCAAATATTCAGATGAAAGCTGATCATTAGCTGGATAGTTGATTTCATAAAAACATCTAGCTTATTCGATTGAGATTTTGAAAGATTTTTATGTAGATAGTTGACATAATAAAAGTTGTACTGTAACTTCATAAAAATAAGAATCTTGTGGGTACACTTTAAATATATTGATAATAAAGTCTTTGATATACTGTTGTTTGTATACTACCTTGAATGCAGTCACATCTTTTTGAAGATAATTATTGAAAACGGTATTTTAAAATTTAACATAAAAATAACATTAAATTACGTGCTATAAATCCCTTTTCTTCCTAAAAACACTAGTGCTTTTTATTCCTGAAGTGATAATTTTCTTTATTTTGGTGAACTTTCTAAGGCCAAACATGATAAGCACATATGCAAAATCACTGCAACACATCTAAACACAGTTTTGTGAACTGTCATTTCACTTTCATTTTATAATGCTGTGGTCATATGCCATTTTTTAAATGAATTTGGATTACATGGAATTTGGAGGTAGTAACTGAGATATAATGGCATGCCGTAAAATCACAGGTGCTTCAAGCATTTTATTTCCATGTGTTGTCACTTAAAGTCCTTCTATTTTAGCCAAGATCAAATGTAGAAAACATGTTAACACCATCCAGTAAATTTAATATCATCTTTTTCTCCTGACAGTGATTTTAAAATACCAAAACATAAATTATGTCTACAATATTTCACTTAAAACCATTTAGTAATTTTTATTTGCTTGGGACATTATTACTTTTTTTTTTTTTTTTAGCTGAGCCATCCTGCCATCTGTTGGCAGCTCAGCGGCAGCTCAGCTTGGGCTGGGCATCGAACTACTGTTGCTCAGAGCTTGCAATCTTGAGCAAGCTCTTAACCAACTTAGCCACTCGGCCAGCCCCAATAATATTTTTTTAAACCAGTAAAAAACTCAATTCAGCTGTGATAAATAGAAAAGAATGTTGAGTTGGAGAAACTTAGGGCAGAGATGAGAATAACTGCCTTCTCTAGTCCAATAAAAAATACGTTCTCGGTCATACCTTAATGAATGTGTTGTCATAATTTAATTTCAGTTATTATTGTATATGTGAATATCTAGGGGTCATTACCTGAGTGGTATGGCTTTCTCTATGTCTCTGAAATGATGAGGTCGCTGTCCCACTCACAGACAACCTGGAGAGTCCATCTTCCTCAGGTAAACCTATTGAGGACAACACAAAGGAGTTAAGTTGTGTGTCTTTCCCCTGAATAAAATAAATTGTGTACTTACTGCAATAAATTGTTATATTTTTTGGATTGAAATGATCATCAGTAAACACAGACTGAATAAAAAGTTTCCAAGAAAATATTGGCATACGAGGTACTGCTGCAGTTCCATTTAATAAACGCGGAAATATACTGGCAAAAGAGATAAAATGATAATGAAGAAATATGTCATCACAGCACAAAAGTGAGCAAAAGTCAGCAAAGAAGTACTGGAGGGGAGAAGGGAAACTTTTCTAGAAACTGAAAATTGTTTGATGAAGCATCGATGGGGAAAGAGAAGTATATGAGTATATGGACAATGGAGAGTAAATGGGTTCCTGGAATTGCTATAGAAGATAGAGTTTGTATTTCATTTGTAGGGTAGCAGGGATGCAAAGAAGGCACTGGAAGACAGATAAGACATAATCAAGTAGATGTATTAGATAAATTCTATTGACTATAGTTTATTTTACATACAAAAGGAGGGAAGATATTGGGTGGCATTCCACGAGGGAAAGGTTGGGGTAGCTGCCCATCCCTAACAGACCAATTCATAACCAACTATATACAATGAATGGTGGGTTTGAGGAAATTTACCACCAAATAATATAGAAGTACCTATGAGGTACCAAAAGATTTTATTAATTATCCCTTATTACAGAAGCAGGGTTTCTCAGCCTCAGCACTGCTGACACTTTGGGCTATATAATTCTGTGCTGTGTGTGCTGCCCTATGTATCATAGGATGTTTAGCAGCATCCCTGGTCTCTATCCTAGATGACAGTAGTACCTTCCCACTGTGAGAAATAAAAATGTCCCCAGACATTGCCAAATGTCCCTTGGGAAGCAAAGTCATCCCTAGCTGAGAAACATTGTGAGAGAGGGATCGGTAATCACCCCAAGTGACTTATTAATAAAAATGAATAGATTAAAAACATAACTATCCAGTGAAATGAGTTCAATCCAGAGGACTTCAAATTCTAAAGTGATTGCTACTATTATCTGAAATCATAATTAGCCAGGATGGTGTAATTGATTAATCATATACATGATTCCCAAATTAAAAATCATTAGAAAATCACTGCACACTTTTCCAATTACAACCGAGAGTTAGTTGCTCAGGGAAGTTCACAAAATCCTATGAACACATGACAAAGAATCCAAATTAATCTTCCTGTGTGAAAACAAATACCTTATAAGGAAACGTTAGCTTCATTGAGACTGGGCAGACTAAGGCCAGCACCTAAAGCCTGATACACCTATGGATGGGGGTCATGTGCTGGAGAGTGGGTCCCCATCTTAAACAATAACAATGTCTTCAGTTGGCTAGGAGAATATTGTATTAGAGACTGTGGGGGCAGGTGTGGGAAAGGTTCCAATCAAGAAGTTACTGTTGGAGTGATCTGGAGTCTAAGCAGATGGACAGAAGCATGAAAATCTAAGATCAGGCACAAGTTGGAATTCCAGGCAATTAGATCAGCAAATACTCAGCAATAAAATGTGTGTCCAGATAGGACGCACAGCGAAGGGTTTGGGATGCATGTGGAAAAGGGGTGTCAAAGATGTGTATGTGTGTGTGCGTGTGCGTGTGCGTGTGCATGTGCGTGTGCGTGTGTGTGTGTGTGACAAATGACTGATTGACAAGCAGGACAAATGTCCACTTCTAGAGAATCTGGTTTGCTGGAGTCTTACTGAGACCAGGAATCTGAGGAAGAGGGAGAAAATTGTGACCCACTTTTCAAAATGAAATTGTAAAAGAGAAACCCTGCTCTCCAAATCAAAACGGAAACTCTGTTTAGTAATGATACACACTCAGAGCCAAATCAATAGCACAACGTGCCTTATACAGTGTCGATTAAATAAAGCTAAGAAATATTTATGGTAAGCCTCTGAATAAGACACTGGGAAGTACAATGAAGAATAAAAAAAGTTTCTACTGTTGAGCTCAAATGTATCAGGAATGGCCCTTACAGAACACACAAGATGATTTAAAGGGTAAGTAGTAGTACACATAACATTGAACAGGATCTTGGAGAAAGCAGGGGTTGATTCCAATTGAAGGGATTAAAGGAAACGTGATGGTGGAGATGCGCAAGTACCTGGGCCTTCTAGGATGGGAAGGACTTCGGAAGGTGAAGAGGGTAGAGAAGGCCCTTCCTTGCTGAGAGAATAAAGGAAACAAAGCAATGAAATGTGGGGAGACTGCTCCCTCTCCAGGGGATTGGCCTGTAAGAGAGCACGGCCAGAGGAGGGAACCTGAAGGATGTGTTGGAAGGTAAAGCAGGCCAGATGTTCAATGACTTCATGTAACATGTCACAGAAATTTGACAAATTTTGTAGGCAGTAGGTAGCACTGTAGATTTCTAAGATGGGATATGACACCATTGTACCTAAATGGTAAGTTAAAAGACATTTCTTTCCCATTGACTAAAGAAATCATTGACCTCAGAATCTGTGGCAAAGTCAACAGAATAGGGACAGATGGCTTCGGTTTGGGGGAATGGAAAGGCAGGTAATGACACAGGACTAGTGAGGTAGAAGAGAGGGGTGCCAGAGAAACTCTGTGTGAATAGTCTCTTCCTAAAAAGGTGAAGAGAATATCTGGAATGGAAAGTGTGCGGGGGAGGAAATCCTTGACAGTTGTAGAAAATAGGTGAGAGAATCTCATTATGGCTAATATACCAAGGGGGTTGTATCTAGATTAAGTAATAGTCAGGAAGCACTGAAGTTCAAAGGAGGTCAGAGGGCAGGGGGGTTTTCTTTTCACCAACACAGTATTTTATTTTCCTGCCATGTTGGAAGCAGGACTTTTTCAAGGTAAATGATCTAAAAATGACACCAAAGGCACAAACCATGAAGGGGGTGGGGGGACAGGATGAATGTTTTCATTATTTAAACATTAAAAATAAATATATGTTAAAATATCATAAAAATAAAATTCAAATAAAAAATATAGAACATTTAAATACACTAAACAGAAGGCTTTATTTTTCTTAAAACATCCTACAAATCAAACTAAATGTCGTACCCTCATCTTGTAAAGTATGGGCAAAGATGTACAGAAAATTAAAGAGACTATAAATGGCCACTAAATACTAAACATGCTCATTTTCATTAAGTATTCAAGGCAACACATAAGACTACAATAATTTACCTATTTTACCTATCAACATGGCAAATATTTCAAATCATTTTATTATAGAAATTGGATACCCATATAAAAGTAAAGAGAACATGAAGTAAAACACCACGTACTCAGCATCAAACTTTGAACTTTTCATTATTTCAATCTTGTTTCATCTACTTATTATCTTTTTAAAAAATTTCCAGAAATTTAAAAAACTTCCAGAAAGTGAATTCACCTGTAAATTCTTGAGCATGTGTCCCTAACTGATAAGGATTTAAAGAAAAAACCAAATACATAGCCAGGATTTCCTCATGCAGCTAAGGAGAGGACTATTATGCAAAAGCTCCAGAAAAGCCCCAAAGTCTTGGGGATAGAAAATTCCACTGTGTGTTCCCCAGGGATGAAGATCCCTGTTTTTTGTTTGTTTGTTTGTTTGTTTTAGGGGGTGGGTGGCATCTAAGGTTAATTTGGATTCACTCATTTATTGACTTCCATTGGGAGGTAGATTTCCATCACAGAATGATTGTACAATGATTGTACATCAGAGCTGCAATCTGAGCCCAGGCTAACAGAAACAGTGCAACTCGACTAAGAAACTTGAGTTGGGAGTACCAATTTTATGTTCTTCCACTTGAGCCTTTGCAGACTTTGTACACCCAGTAAGAATATTAGAGAATGTACTGGTATGAGAGGCAAGAAAAACGAGTGAAGGATGACTCCAAGAATTTGAGACTAATAATAGAAGGGAGAATAGTGCATTCCTAACAGAGAAAAGGAAACGCAGGGTCAGCATTTCAATCCAGCCATTTTCAACCCTGATTTCTCAACCACCATAGAGGAAATGTAATTACTAAATCAAGTCCAAATTAGAAATTATTTAATATGACTTCAAAATATTTTTAATGAGGAGTAGTAAGGCAGGACTTTCTAAATGCCTGAGGAGCTTGCTTTCTTTGCAAAGCTACCTTCTGTTGCTCAAAAATAGATAATTGCACAATATTCCAGATTGTCAAGTGAAAGCTTGCTTCCTCTGGCAGTTAGCCTTTGAATCAGAAAACAGTGTGAGTTCCAAAGAATCTATACACGTCCCATAAACAAAGCGATGCTGTAAAAAGTATATATGAATACATTTTGTAGGCTCCAACCAGAGGCTCATTTGCCAATGGTCTGGTTCTGTCTTGTGGCATAGCTGATGAAAGCCATTCTTTGATGTTCTCAGAATCAGTGTGGTTTGGCGCTCCAGGAGCACTAAATTCAATATGGCGCTGAGATTATGCAAAGACTGTAGAGTCCCTGGTCCTGCAAATGGTTTCACCCAAGCCTTCCCTCTGTAAAGCCCTTTATCACCAAAGATAATTATTACTGTGCACTGAGGATAAACACGATGCAAATAAAAAGAGACAATCCACAGAATGAAAAAATGTAAAAATCAAATATAATAACTGCATTCTTTAATTGCCATTTTTGCCAACGTCTAGCAATCAAATGTATATTCATTGAGCAGCAAGAAACTCATACTGAGCATAAAATGCCCTAGTTGGAATTTCTTATATCTGTATTTCTCCTACAAAATAAACATCTTTATATTCACAATATTTGGCTTGATACAACTAAAACGTTCTAACATGAAAAAACTGTTCTCTAATCCAATGATAAATAACCACAAGTCCAGGGAATAATTAAGTATACAAAAAAGATCTAAGTCTGTGTTCACATCAGTAAAAGGATGGCAATTAAAATAAGTGATAGCTATAATTACCCACACATAACTATATTTCAGCAAATGAACAAACAGATAATTATTTCTGGGAAGCAGAGGTAGCATGCAGA